TTTTGTTTAAGTCAATAGAATCGACCAAGCAAGCAAGTCTGCAAGCATGAAGAGGCCATCGCGCCTTACTCCTCAACTAAATGAAGGATGATCCAAAAATGCCAAGACCAGGAATGACTTCCTAACCGAAGCCAGGAGTGGCTTCCAAAATAATACTCATCAATAAAGATTGAGCAAATAACATCATCATGGGATGTGATCCCTCCACCAATGATGACAACAAAATATAAAATCAAAAAAAGGCAAGCTTCGTACATGTTGAAAAAGCCGAAGCATTTAGAAAAATAAAATAGAAAAAAGGCAAGCCTCGTACATGATGAAAAAGCCGAAGCATTTAGAAAATAAAATTTAGAAAAAATGTATTTATCCTTGTTTTATTTTATAATTATCAACAATTACTAAAATACTAATTTAAAATCTTATCAAGTTATATCATAATATTTTCATATCAAGTTTAAAGCCAGATATTAATTATTTATAAAATATGTTAATTTGTGTTGGGATTTTATTTCAACACAAAACTTTAAAATACATGTGCGAATAATCAAAAAGAACAAGCGGGTGGTTTGCCCAATTAGTTAAGGAGGAAGACTTAATATTTTCTCCACGTAAGTATGAGTGTGGATTCGAGCTCTACTGTCAGCAATTTTAACCTTTTTAAACAAAGGAGGTGTATATATCATAAGTTATGTAACACCCCAGTTTTCAAAAAGGTTATTATTATTTATTATTATTATTATATGGTATTTGGTCATAATTATTTTAATAATTATAGAGGAATATTATTTTGTAAGTTTTAAATAATTATTGTGTTGGACAATTATTTTGTGCGTATTAAATAAGTATTTTTATTAGCATTTTTAAATAAATATTTATATGTTTTAAGAGAAGGTTGATTTTATATGATATTTTGTTATTGAAATTATATTATTATATTTTGGGTCAGAAATATATTATTATTATAGAGGAAAAATATTTTATAATATACATGTATTTATTTTATTTAATTATTTTGAGGAAAAAGAGAAGTGAGTTAGAAGAGAAGGAAAATGGGTTGGGTTGACCTAGCCCAATGGATTAATTTTAAGAAAGGAGTCAGGTAGCATTAACCCTATGTGCCTCATTTGCGTTCTGAAAGGTTAGGGAAAAAAAAGGAGAAACAAAGAGCTATAAGGAAGAGTACTCAGGAACGATCTTAGATCACACCAAGACCATTTGTGACACCCTTACTACCCTAACACATATATTATAACAATGTAAATAAGCTAAAGAATAAATTTTTCAACGTTGGTAAAAGGGTTCATATAAAAACCTTCACAAATGTTCTTCAATATCTAAAATGATTGAAAATAAATAAATTAGAAAATAAAACCTAAGAGTTTACAAATTATTTTTTTAAAATAATAAATACAGCTCCAAATCCATATAAAAACTTCATGTCCTAGAAATCTTCTGCCCCGATGTCACAATATCAGAGCATACCCACAATTCAACCGTTGGCATTCTAGTGCCACTCATAGCCGGATCTTCCTCACCTAAAACATCCACAAGTTGTACGGTGAGAAAAGAAAACATCTATATGGAAAACACACAAGGAAAAACATAACATAATCTCATCATAACTCCTTAATGAAATATTCACAAGCATTTATATATATCATAATTTATCAATCATTCATCATCTTCACATCTCAATTACATCAATCCATCACAATCCACACAAATCTTACAATTAACATTATGCCAAGGCCACGCCACATTTGACACAAGTGATACGGGTTAATTGCCTCACTTATCCCACACCATGCTAGGGGCACACTCGTCCTTGTAACATCACTTACTCAAGATTCGTCTCATCCCTGGTCATTAGTGTGAGGAACCACAATCACATTACAATCCACACAATCTCTTACAATTAACCCTATGTCAAGGCTTCCATATTTGACATAAGTGATGCGTGTTAATTGCCTCACTCATCCCACACTATGCCAGGGGCACGCCATCCCTGAAGCATCACCTAACCAGGGTCATCTCATCCCTGGTCATATGTGTGAGGAACCACAATCACAATCATATTTACATCCATACAACATCTCATCTCATAGCTCAATTTCTTATCACATACACAATTTCATATCACGTACAAAACAGATAAGTCCAACAAAATAAGGATTTACACACCCCTCAGGCAATTCACATCTAGATCATCAATTCTTATCAAGTAATATAACAATAACATTCATAAATTAATACAATAATCAATAGAATTACCAATTTAATATAATCTTAACATAACGGTAAAACCCTCAATTATTCCAAAATCTAACTCCTAGGAACTTTTCTACAATTTCGTTCTCTCTCCCAGATCATCATTCTTACAAATTATTAGCATATTTCTAATCCTCAACACATACAGAATCTAGTGGGATCATCAATTCCTCAAACAAAAATAATCCAATTTTCTAAAACCTAACTTACAGGCACTTTTCTACAATTTTGTTCTCTCTCCCCGATCATCATTCTTACTAATTAAATATATATTTCTAATCCTCAACACATACAGAATTTAATGGGATCATCAATTTCTCAAACAGAAATAATTATAAAATTACTCATAATCTTAAGGAACTCTTCCTCTACTCAATTCCCTCATGTAACTCTACATACAAATAATCCCTTTTTCCTCGTACCTAGATAAAAATAGTTGAAACTAAAATAGAGATATCCTTGGTCTCCTCCTCTGAGTGCCCCTCGATCTTCAGAGAGTGTAGAAGGAAAAGAAGAGAATGTAGAAGAAAGAAGTCAGAACTAAAAAGTGTGATTTTGAGAGTGTCAAAGCGCTCTATTTATAGGCATCAGGCGTCGCCGGAATGGCTCGTTTCAAATCCGGAACGGCCTGTTCTAGACTCTGAAGGCATGTGTAAAATTCACATCCAGAACGGCCCGTTCTGGGGTTGCACTTAACCCACAACGAGGATGTGAAATGCGATGAGATGAGATAATCCATGACTATGAGAATGTGAAATGTGATAAGACATGAAATTCCATGACAAGTGAAGTGATGAGTCCATGAGGTTGTGAACGTGTGACATGCATCATGAGCTAATCAGGTGTACCTTTTGGTCACCAAGTGATGTAACAAGCTAACCAGGTGTACCTTTTGGTCACCAAGTGATGTAACAAGCTAATCAGGTGTACCTTTTGATCACCAAGTGATGTAACAGGTGTACCTTGTGTCACCTAGTGATGTAACAAGTTAACAAGGTGTACCTTGAGTCACCAGTGATGAAATGATGAGAAATGTGATTATGAGACACGTGACTAGCGCCACATACATTTATGAGTTGAGTCCATGAGATTATTGCATAATAAATGACTGTGCATGTGTTACTGTTGTATGTGTAATTTGAATTTGCACCTGAATATTGAGTAGCTATGGCTATGATTGTTATGATTCGTGTGTGTGTTGCCTGACTGTTATTTCTACATCTGGAATCGAGTGAGATGTTTCTCACTCCCTTGTTGTTATTTGTACATGTTTAAATTGTTTTGCAGATGATCATTAGCACGAGGATGTTGGTGACGAGGCTTAAGCTTCAGTTGGGCATGCTCTGATAGGATATGTGACATCGAGGCATAACTAGATTTAGTTTAGGATTCCTTATTGTTATTCTATTTTGGAAAAGATTCATTTTGCTATAAATTCTGCATTTGACTATATTTGAAGTATACGAATGTGAATCCTTTACTCTTATGTTAATGGATTTATTGTTTTAATTATAAAGATTTTATTTAAATCAAGAATATGTTTCATATATACGTCGGGGTAGAGGGTGTCACAAGTTAAATACTATGAACATCTTTAAGTAAATTAAAATCAAAAGATAATAATTTTTTTAAATTACTAAAAAACATTTCATTTTATAATTGTTTCTCAAATTCTTATTTTTGTAAAGTCAATTGCTTTTAAACAATGAAACTAACACGATTATATCAATTGAATTAAATGGTTAAGTCTAACTTTTAAAATAACAATTGAAATAAAATAAGATTCATGAAAATAATTTCAAAATATATTAGGTAAATAATTTTTATATATAATAAAATTAAAGACAAGGATTAAAATAATCAATGGAGTTAATGTAATATTCATTTATAAATATTTAAATAAATTATAAGTAGCAAGGTATTATTTAATTGATGTTTAAAATAAAATATTTTATAATATCTAAATGAATTGATTTTTAAGATAAACTATTATATACATATTTAATTAATATAATTTTAAAATATATATGTATAATTAGATATATTTTAAATAAATATTTTTATATTAAAAATTAATTTATCATTAAACAAAATAAAAATATTTCAAAATATGGTTGTTGTTGAATATGTTTCCCATGGTGGGATCATATTCATATATAATAATAGAATCATGTCTCTTCAAAGAAGCAATATCTACCTCAAAGTAGTACGAGCATAATCGAAGATAGATGGTATAACGTATTTTAAGTAATTGATCTCATGCATTATTGGTATATATATTTATATATATAATTTAGTTTATAATTTTTATTTATTAAACTAATGGAACATTTATATTTTTTTATCAATTTTAGATTTGTTTGATAAATTTGTATTAATCCTTATACAAGCCAATTATTTTTAATTTGATGGAACTAACGTGTTTATATCAATTGAACTACATGTTTAAGTCAATTTTAAAAATAATAATTAAAATAAAATAAGATTTATGAAAAGAAGTTTATTTACCTTAACAAAATTGGAAAGCACAATAAATTATGTATTTTCATATTATCTAATAATATAATAAAATATTAAGCATGATAAAAAAAATAAATTTTTCAAGAAAAAAATAAATAAATTTTCTAGATAAATTATTATTTAAATTAGTCTAATTTTTTTTAAAAATATTCCATTAAAAATATTATTATTTAATTTTATTTTATAGTATTATGTTTCTCATTTTTTAATACATCATGATACTCATGTTCTTGGTGTTAGCTTCCATGCTTCAAGTCTTTCATTTGGACATGATCCAAAGACTGTGATGACAACTCTTTGCTTCTTCCGCTTCTGGCTTGGCTTTGGTATTGGTGGAGACTATCCACTTTCAGCAACCATAATGTCTGAGTATGCTAATAAGAAGACACGTGGTGCCTTTATAGCAGCAGTGTTTGCCATGCAAGGGTTTGGAATTTTGGTAGGAGGTGTGTTTGCAATTGTAATAGCATTTGTGTTCGTTAGAATAGTGGATTAAGCCTAACTCAACCCTACAAAACCGGCTTGTAAGGTGAGGGTTGCTTTCCACTTATATACTATTCAATTGCCTAATCTCTAGTCGATGTGGGACTTGAGTTTTTCCCAATACACCCCCTCACGTCCAGCACTATTGGGCTTGGTACGTGGATAAATGGTAGGTGGCCCTTTTTAATGATCTAGGATAGGCGGGACTTGGGTTTTTCCCAATACACCCCCTCATGCCTATGAGGCATGCATCAATGGTGGGTGGCCCATTTTTAAAGTGGATCTAAATGGCTTTGATACCATGTTAGAATAGTGGATTAAGCCTAACTCAACCCTACAAAACCGGCTTACCTTACAAGCTGGTTTTGTAGGGTTGAGTTAGGCTTTAATCCACTATTCTAACATGGTATCAGAGCCATTTAGATCCACTTTAAAAATGGGCCACCCACCATTGATGCATGTCTCATAGGCATGAGGGGGTGTATTAGGAAAAACTCAAGTCCCGCCAATCCTAGATCATTAAAAAGGGCCACCCACCATTTATCCACGTACCAAGCCCAATAGTGCTGGACGTGAGGGGGTGTATTGGGAAAAACCCAAGTCCCACATCGACTAGAGATTAGGCAATTGAATAGTATATAAGTGGAAAACAACCCTCACCTTACAAGCCGGTTTTGTAGGGTTGAGTTAGGCTTCAATCCACTATTCTAACAGTTCAAGACCAAGTTTAGTGCTCCACCCTATGAGGTTGATCCATTGGGGTCAACTGTTCCACAAGCAGACTATGTTTGGAGGATAATTCTGATGGCAGGGGCACTTCCTGCTGCATTGACTTACTATTGGAGATTGAAGATGCCAGAAACTGCTCGCTACACTGCCTTAGTTGCCAAGAATATGGAGCAGGCTGCAACAGATATGTCTAAGGTTATGCAGGTGGAGATTCAAGTTGAGCCAGAAACTGAGGAGAAAGCACAAGGCCAGTATGGATTGTTATCAAAGGAGTTTCTTACTCGTCATGGACTGCATCTGCTTGGAACAACTAGCACCTGGTTCTTGCTTGACATTGCATTCTACAGCCAAAATCTGTTCCAAAAGGACATCTTCAGTGCAATTGGTTGGATCCCTTCTACAAAAACCATGAATGCTCTTGAGGAGGTTTTCAGAATTGCAAGGGCTCAAACTCTTATTGCTCTCTGCAGCACAGTTCCGGGTTACTGGTTTACTGTGGCTTTCATTGACAGGATAGGAAGATTTATCATTCAATTGATGGGGTTCTTCTTTATGACTGTCTTTATGTATACTCTTGCCATCCCCTATGATTATTGGACTCTTAAGGAGAACCGAATAGGTTTTGTGGTTTTGTACTCTCTCACCTTCTTCTTTGCAAACTTTGGGCCTAATGCTACCACATTTGTTGTGCCAGCAGAGATTTTCCCAGCTAGATTTAGATCTACTTGCCATGGAATATCTTCAGCATCCGGGAAGCTTGGTGCTATGGTTGGGGCATTTGGATTTTTGTATTTGGCACAGAACCAGGACAAGAGCAAAACAGATGCAGGGTACCCTGCAGGTATCGGTGTGAAGAATTCACTAATTGTGTTAGGTGTTGTCAACATTTTAGGCTTCCTCTTTACTTTCTTGGTGCCTGAGGCGAAGGGTAGATCTTTAGAGGATATTTCTGGTGAGAATGAAGAAGTTCAAACCAATAAGGGTTAAAATAGTGCCACAACAATCACATGGTGGCAGCCAGAAATGTAATAGTTTAATGTTTTCTTTGTTTAGGTTATCAGTGTTGTGTTACTAAAATAAAGTCGAGTCTTAATTAAAATCATGAATTTCATTAAATATATTATTTACTCATTTCTTATTTAAAATATAATATTAAATTATTTTTAAAAAATGAAAAGTTATAATTAACATTATCTAAATATAGAATACAACGAAATAAATAAATAAATAAAATGTTACATAATAAGTAAGAAGGATAAAAATATATAATTTCATTTCATTCAAATACAAAATATTAATAAATATCATTAAAATAAAATATATTTTAATAATATTATTAAAACAAAAATTAATGGGATATAAGATAATAAGAGAGATAAAGATATAAGGAAAGAGAGAGGAAGAGAGGAAGGAGACTAAAGTGACATAGAGAAAGTGGGAAGGGAGAGAGGAAGAGAGGGGGAGTGAGAGGGAGAAAGACAAAGAGAGAGGGAGGCAGAGAAAAAGATAAACAGAGAGAGGAAAAAAAGAGGAGTAAGAGTGAGAAAAATAAAGAGATAATTAAAAAGTTGAAAATTTATAATTAATATTATCTAAATATAGAATAGAACAAAATAAATAAATAAATAAAATGTTACATAATAAATAAGAAGGATAAAAATATATAATTTTATTTCATTCAAATAAAAAAATAAATATTAACAAATATTAAAATAAAATACTTTAATAATATTATTAAAATAAAAATTAATGAGATATAAGAAAGATATGGAAAGGAAAGCATGAGGAAGGAGAGTGAGAGTGACATAGAGAAAGGAGGGAAGGAGAGAAGAAGACAGGGGAAATATATTTTTTCTTTTATATTTTTTCTTTTTCTTCTTTTCCAAACGTATTTTAACAATATTTGTTTATTATTTTAAAAAATTTGTAATTTTTTTTCTTTTTCATTTTGTTTTTCTTTTGTGACTCATTTTTTTTTTCTAATTTTTTTTAGCACCTTTTTTTCATTTTTTTTTTCATTTTTTTAAAAACTTTTCTTTAAAAAAACGGAGTTTTTTTTTAATCTTAATTATTTTTATCTAAATTTATCTTAAAATATACTATTAATTTATTTTTAATTTACTGAACTATTCTAGGTTATTTTTAAAAATCTTATTCTTTTTTGTAGATTATTAATATATTTTAAAAGTTCAACTCTTAAAATAAATATATTTTAATTTTTTTTTTATTTTTATAAAAAAATAATTTTTTTATAAAATTAAACCATTTTAGATGTTGAAACAACTGATAGCGACACTATTAAAGTCGCTACAGCTAGTAGCGACTTGTATGTGGCTAAATTTAAGCTGTCCTATTTTAAAAAAATTATATGTGGCACGTGACACTGTAGTAAACTACCTCAAAGGCATAAATAATTTCAAAACAGTGTCATTTACATAATTAATTTTAAAAACTATCCTACAATGGTCAATCAGCCTTGATCAGGAGATGCAGAAGATTGCAAATGCCAATCGCAATTATAGTTGCAGGAAAAATAACGAGATAATGACAAAAGCATATTAATTAATTTCCTTTTAACCTCCTTAGAGCATCTTTAACCAATAAATCTATTAAAGTTTCACTTGTACTTTTTAAATTATGTTTTACTTCTCTATCTGGTCACGTCACATTCATACTTTAAATTGTGACACCCTCTACCCCAACATTAATACACAATAAATATAAACAATAATTTTTTGTTTTTGAGTAAATAAAATCTTTCATAGTTGACAACATCTTTCATGCATAAAACAAATGTCTCAAATATCATAAGATAGAAGATTCACATTCATAACTCATAAATCATAACTCCAATGTAGAAATTACAAAAGAAAAGAAAACTAAAGTTTTCAAAACAATTTAATGGAAATAACATCCTAAACTAAGCCTAACTATGCCCTGATGTCACATATCCTATCAGAGCATGCCCAACTGAAGCCTTAAGTCTAATCACCAACATCCTCATGATGATGATCACCTGCAACATAATTTAAACATATACAAGAACAACAAGGGAGTGAGAAACATCTCACTCTAATTCAGATATAGCAATAAATGTTAGGCAACGCACACACAGTCATAACAAATACCACACAAGTTACACATAACCAATCATAACTATCAAGTTATAAATACATTAGAATACATATACATTCACTTATCATGCAATAATGTCATGGACTCAACTCATAAGTGCATGCATGTGGCGCTATACAGAAGTTTACATTTCTCATCACTGGTATGCTGCACAGCAACATACCTGGGCACGTTCATTCATGAATACATCACTGGTCAGTGGTGACCAAAGGTACTCCTAAAATATCTCAATACATCACTGGTATGCGGCCTAAGCAGCACACTTGGAATAAGTCATTTCATCACATAACTTGTTACATCACTGGTATGCGGCCTAAGCGGCACACCTGGAATAAATTATTTCATCACATCATTTCATCACTGGTGAAGGTACACCTGGAATACATCATTTCATCACTAGTATGCGGCCTAAGCGGCACCCCTGGAGTTATATATGTATATGATGCATGTCATACATTCACTATTTCATTGACTCAACATTTCACTTATCACGAAATTTCATTTATTGCCTCATGTCGTCATTTTTCATATTCTCATAGTCATAGCTTATCTCAATAGTTCATTCTCATGTCTCATGTCATTTGTTCATATTTCACATAGTCATGTCATAATTATTCCTTATAAGGTCCGCACAAGAATTCACAGAGCACTCTTATTCATATTAAAACTTATTTATTTTCAAAATTAATTACATATTCATTCATCACTTCCAACAAGGAACACAGTAGAGCAATCAGAAAGTAAAACAAAAACATTAATGCTTTGCATGTTCCTAGAAGCATGCATCAGGCAAGTGATTGGGGGTCAATCTGACTACCCAACAATTATTCCCACACCCCCGAGCGAGGTTACTCACTCTCCCCTTACCTCGATAAGCAAGAGCTGAAACTAGAGTAGAACCTTGCTAATCTCCTCTTCTAAATTCTCCTTGGTCTTTAGAAGGTTTAGAAGAAGAAGAAGTCAGAAGTGAATAGTATGATTTGAAATCAAGCCTTAGCCTCTTATTTATAGGCATCAAAGGTGGCCGGAACGGTCCGTTCTGAACCAGAACGACCCGTTTTGGACTCATCCGTTATATGCAAAATTTACAACTACAACGACCCATTCTCAAAATCAGAACGGCCCGTTCTAGGGTTGATTTTAACACACATTGATCATAATTGGAACGACCCGTTTCTAACTTAAGATTTTAGGCCATTTTATTAGTTTGGAATGGCCTGTTCCACTTTTTGGAACGCCCGTTCTGCTTATGGGAACGACTTGTTCCGCTTTTTGGAACGGTCCGTTTTGGGCCTAAGAAAAATAGAATTTAATTTTTCATAAATATTTAAATTATTAAAAAAATCTCTAAAATGTTCTATAAAACCCCTTTAATTAATAAAAATAACTATAAGAAGATAATTTTCATAAATATAAAAATAATAATTATTAACTATTGTATTAGTAGAAAATTCGAGATGTTACATAAATAAATCCATTTATTTTTAACTTCAACTAAAAAAACTTATTTCTTTTAGGTGAACTAAAAAATTATTTTTTTTTTGAATGGACTCCACATATATACCTATTTATATATTTTATTATTCATGTTAATTTTAAGTTCATATATTCAAATGAAAATTTTTAAATAATAAAAATATGATACATTTTAATAAAATAAAATTTAACTTTCATCTTTAAAATACATAAAATAGAATGCAAATTAAAATTAATAATATTAACTTTTAAAATATATAAAGAAATGCAGATAACACTATCACTAAAATATAGTTTAACAAAATAAATTTTATCGCGAGATCAATTCTAATTCTTGTTTGGGATTGCCCATTAGAAAAGTTTTTTCTAAAAGAAATATATTAGAGATAAAATGATTCTTCCCCTCTTATCAAGGAGCACATCATCTCATATTTTAAAAAATACTTTTGCAGTGTATATGGACCCATAATATGAGAAGAGAAATGGGTTCTCTGTCCAACAACTCAATTCTAAAAGTAAGACCCGCACAGTTTGTCTCCAGTGATGAAAATTTGTCTTTTGAGTTTCTATTAGTACTACAAAAACACTTTTAACATCGTTATATTTACATATAGTAGAATTGATGTAAATCATAAATGCAGTAAACTTGTAAATAAATATAAAAAATACAAAGATGTTTACATCAATTAGGAGAAGAAACGATGTAAACAGGAGAAAAACCGCGGGAGTGCCAAAACGCCGTGGAGAGTTCCGAATCCAAGGGAGTAGTCGAGGCAGTTTCACTTCCGAATACTTCGAAGATTCCTGCGTTTGTCGAGGAGTGCCCGAGGTATGGGGTAACCTCGGTTTGTGGTCGGAGGAGGGACATGGAAGACGCCGTTTCGGTGCATCCCTCGTTTTGCCTCGAAAATCGTTCTCAGGATCAGAAAGGGTTTCATTTCTTCGCTGTTTTCGACGGTCACGGATGCTCGCATGTAAATAAATTAATAATTAAAAATATGAAATCTGTTTTGTTTTTCCTTTAGGCGGTGGTGGATCTGGTTTCTTAATTAGTTACCTCTTTGTTTCATAGGTGGCGACTATGTGCAAGGAGAGATTACACGAGATAGTGAAGGAGGAGGTTGAGAAAGCGAAAGAGGATTTGGACTGGGAAATCACGATGAAGAAGTGTTTCGCTCGCATGGACGAGGAGGTGCAGAGGTGGACCAAGAGCAAGGAAGCTCCCACTTGCAGGTGCGAGCTTCAGACTCAGCACTGCGATGCCATCGGCTCCACTGCGATCGTCGTCGTCGTCACGCCGGACAAGATCATCATCGCGAACTGTGGCGAATCACGCACCGTGTTGTGCCAGAACAATGTCGCCGTTCCACTCTTCGACGACCACAAGGTAAGCAAGAGTTTTTGGTTTATTTGTTTGGGATCTGAATTGATGTGGTTGGCGCGTTGAGTACACGCGCGTGTGATTTGGTTTCATTGTGGTGACTCCACTTACGGAAGTGGAGGGAAAAAGTTGGTTGGTTTGTGTGTTGTGGGTGCGTGTTGGGCATGTGCACTAACCTTTTTGGTTTTGGTTGGGTTTGAATTTTGCGCAGCCGGATCGAGCGGACGAGTTAGGTCGGATCCAAGCCGCGAGAGGGCGTGTGATATATACTTAGATGCATTGTGTAGATTGCTAGTGCTCTTGTTGTGGATTGAACTCAATCATTTCAACATATATATTAGCGTATTTGATGATTTACTTATATTATATATTTCAAGAAGAAATAATTAAATTCTTCCTGTATTTCACTTAATTTCTGTAGCATTATTTTTGCAACTGCCCACTTGCTGGAATAGATGGGGTCATGGATATTTTGCAGTATCTGGGAATCTTGCTTTAAGGAAGGTTTTGACAAGGCTTCCGAATTCTTTGTTGGGTATGAGGAAGATAAAAGACCTGATGTAATTTTGCTCACTTTCTACAACGGTTCAAGAACCGATGTAGAATATCTTACACATTCTACGTCGTCATCTGTAACTACATCGATTTCAAAATCGATGTAGAGTAGTCAAAAGAACCGATGTAAAATTTTGTTACTGTAGTGTCAAAAGAAAATAAAATTGTTGGAGTTGCTCTTAGGAAGTTATTGAATGGGACTAATTAAATAACCACTTACTAAAGAAGTGCCACCATTTAGATGTGCCATCGATGACTATTGCAATGTAGAGGTTAATTAATACGTAGTGACTTTCTATTGTCAATACTCATTGCCAATAGTTTTGAGATTAACCAACACTTCTTATTAACGCAAAAATTGATCGGTTCACATGCAACAAGATGAAATATCCCAACACTTATATCTCTAATTTCTTATAGATGATTGTGAAACCTTAAGGATAAACATCATAATTGAAGATCTCATGATCGAGATGAAGAATTGTTTCTTTTCTCTCTAAGGGAAGACGTGAAAGTTTGGCACCAAAGTCTACTTCAAGGTGGCATCATTACTTGGTAAGACTCATCTAGTACATCCATACCTGTTTTGGCAATAGGTTACGATGTCTCTCTTTCTCTTTTTCTCCTTTTAAAGACCCTCTATGTGCTCTACTTTGAGCAACATAATAACCATCTGTTACCTCTTTCCCACTCTCCTAGTATTGTGCTACACGTAGTACGAGAAAAAGGTTGTATGCTAGCATTCTCCAAAGGTCACAAACATATCCGTAAAGGGTTAGGGTTCTTACTAGTTAATGTCTCGATCGTTGGTTGGGCCATGCAATGGACTCGTAAGGCAAGACCTAGATGCATGCATCTAGGTGACTCATAAATGTGAGGTGACAGGTCAAATTATCTGGAGGTTCAATTCTAGATCGTTCATATCAACAAAGCTCAATTGGCCATCATTTTGCATCAAACTCATCAACCTAATTATTCAACACTCGGTTCTTCTCACCCAACATCTTCAATTGTTCCTCTAGATCCTTTTAGGTCGATATCACAACTTTGGCCCGACCTTCTACGGTCAATGACAGCTTATTGACCATTGTAGTGTAGTTTTTAAAACTAATTACATAAATGATGTTTTTTTGAAATTATTTATGTTTTTTGGACAGTTTACTACAGTGTTGCTATGGATAATAGCGACACTAGTGCCACATGTAATTTTTTTTGTAACCGAGAACGACTTGAATTTAGTCACGTAGAAGTTGTTATCGGCCGTAGCGATTTTATTAGTGTCGCTATCGGCTCCTTCACCATTTAAAATGTCTCTAAATAATAAATCTTTTTTCATAGGAAAAATATATATTTTAAAATATATATTTTTTAAAACTTGATCTTTAAAAATATTTTAATTTTTTTTTACAAAAAATAAGATTTTTTAAAAATAAACCAAAATAGTTAATTGTACAAAAAATAAATTAACAGTATATTTGAAGAAAAATTTAAATAAAAAATTAAGATAAAAAAATGACAATTTTTAAAAAAAATTATTAGAAATTGGAAATTTTTTTAAAAAAAATGATAAAATAAATGTTGAGAAAAAAAGAAGAAAAAAAGAGGTTGCTATGGGCCATAGTCACACAAAGTCTATATGGGCTCTAGCGACTCTGATAGTCCATAAAAATATATATAATTTATTTAAAAAATAGTAAAAATAAATAATTAAAATACATCTGAAAAAGAAAAAAAAAAAGGAAAAATATAAAAGATAAAATTAACTAAAGAAAAAAAGTATATAAAGAAAACGCAAAAAAAAAAAGAAGTATAAAAAGTTGAGTCACATAATATAAACAAAATAAAAAAGAAAAAATGTACAAAATTTGTAAAACAATAAAAAAAATTATAAAAATACATGTGGAAAAGAAACAAAAATGAAAAATATAAAAGGAAAAAATAACTTAAGGGAAATAATATAAAAAAATGCAAAAGCAAAAAAATGAATGCTAAAATAAAATTTTTGTTAAAAAAATGATAAAAATAAATGTGGAGAAAAATACATCTAGAAAAGGAAAAAAAAAGGGAAAAATATGAAAGATAAATATAACTAAAGAAAAAAAATGTAAAAAAAAACGCAAAAAAATAAGTATAAAATAAAAATTTTAAAAAAATGATAAAAAAAATGTATAAAAAAAAAGCCGTTATGGGCCGTAGCGACATTGTGTCGCTGTGGCCCATAACGATCATTTTTTTTATGTCGCTATGACCCATAGCCACTTTTTTTTTTTTTTTTTTTTTACTTTTTCCACTTTTACCAGAGGTGCTAGAGCCCATAGCGACACAAGTCGCTATGGCCGCTATGACCCATATCGACTTCCCTTTTTTTTATTTACTGTTTTTACTTTTATTTTATCAATTTTTTTAAAAAAATTTATTTTATACTTCTTCTTTTTTGCACTTTTTTTTAAACATTTTTTCCTTTAGTTAATTTTATCTTTTATATTTTCCTTTTTTTCTTTTCTAGATGTATTTTTCTCCTCATTTATTTTATCATTTATTTAAATTTTTTTATTTTAACATTCATTTTTTTTCTTTTGCATTTTTTTTATATTATTTCCCTTTAGTTATTTTTACCTTTTATATTTTTCATTTTTTGTTATTTTCCACATTTATTTTTATAATTTTTGTTTACTGTTTTACAAATTTTGTATATTTTTTATTTTTTCTTTTGTTTATTTTCTTTTACTCAACTTTTTTTCCAGTTTTTAAAATTATAATTATATGCTATCAAAAAATTAAATAAATTGTATAATTATACTAAAATTTTAAATTAATTATTTTATAAAAAATAATTAATTAGTGTCGTTATAGGCTATAGTGTTAAAAATTTTATTTCTAATAGTTATTGTGGGCTACATATATTATTTGTAGTATTTATATTAGTTATTTACATTTAGTTGGGCTCTATAAAAGTAATCTAATTTTAGTGAGTCTTTAGACTGCTAACATGAAAAATTGATATGGGCCCAAATAAGTAGAAACCAGATTTGACCCGTTAGGGGTTAATGGAAACCCTGATAGGTTTAAAATCGTAAAGATGGTCATGGTCCCCAATATGCCAAATCAGAAACACACGTCTCTCTGTCTCCCCATCAAAAGAGTAACATCAAGTCCCATCAAGGAATTCAGTGATCTGACTGAGGAAGATCATTGCACCAAAAGACTATTCCGCTGCAACCTTTTGATCAACGTCAATGGATACAAGTATGTGTTATTAACATTAACTCTGTAATCTGAGATAACGGTTCTTAATTTTGATTAATGGAAAATTTCTATTTGGCTTAAGAAATTTATCCCAACATATAACGACTTCATTAATTTATTTTTTTAAAATTTCCAGCCAAGCATGAAGCCGTTTTGTGTTGTTAGGAGCTGTAGCGACTTTACAAGAGACTCTACCGGCTGTAGCGACTTTTATAATATGACTTTCATGGTTTCTAAAAAAAATTACATGTGGCACTAGTGTCGCTATGATCCATAGCGACACTATAGTAAACTGCCTTAAAGGCGTAAATAATTTCAAAACAACCTCATTTACGTAATTAATTTGAAAAACTACCCTACAATGGTCAATCAACCGTCAATGACAAGAAAGCAAGTTTGGAGGCTAATGCCTCCATCATTTTACAAAGACTTACATCCTTTACCTCTTCAAAAGTCTTAACATCATGTACCAAACTCAAGTGTGGATGGATTAGTGTAAACACCAATTTTGTTCCATCAATTTTTCTAATAATTTCTTTCTCAAATCTCCAAATCAATTATTCAAGAATAAAAGAATAATATATATATATATATATATGTATGTATATATATATCTTATATATATATATACTTTTGTGATTTGTATATTTAAAATAAAAATAGAGTGATTAATTATAACTTTTCCTTGTAAAATATAATATAAAATAAAATAACAAAAATAGAAAGAAATAAGAAAATCAAATAGTGTATAAATGAGTCAGAAAACAAAACCAAGTAAAAGAATTGGGAGGCACCATTTTGAGTTTAAGAAACAGAGACTTTCTCTTGCACCCCTACGTTCCTCCTATTCTCATACAAGGTAGTGCAAGCCTTTTTCTCCTAAAAGGTTGTCTATGCTACCCCTGCGGCTTTTCCCTTTTGATTGAAAAAAATCCTCGACATAAGCGAAAGAGAAAAAGAAGGAATTCATGGATGAGGAGAGGGGACGACATATAGGGGTCAAGGTTCATTCAGTTGAAGGGGAGAGGTTTTGGAAGCGAAGAAAGGAAGGGAGAATCCGTAATGGAAGGAGGGAGGTTTTGGAAGCTGAGAAAGGAAGGAGGAATCCGCAGTAGAAGGAGAAGAGGTTCAAAGAAAGGAAGAAATAATTCGTAGTGGAGGGAAGAAGCAGTAAGGTAAATGGTTTTTCAACCTATTCACATTACCCCTTTATTCATTTAGTTTTTTTAGCTTAGATTATATTATTAGCTTGCACACGGAACCTGGACAGGAAGTCACCACGTCAAAGCCTTATTCATTTCATGTCATTCCTACATTCAAAGGTAAAACATGTTATAATTAATCACTCTATTTTTATTTTAAATATACAAATCACAAAAGTATATATAATGAAAAGCAAAGGAATCACGCACGAATTGTTTTCCTATTGTCAATTTTGCACGCAATATCCATTAATTTAGTTTCATTTATTTTAAACATGTTTTACCTTTTCAGTCAACAATGAATTTAGTAATATGTCTTCGATAATTCTCAGCTATGTAATTTGTGACTTTAGCTATTCG